CTCTCTCTGGTCAAATTAAAATGAATGAATGAATAAATAAAATTAAATAAATAATTATTTTTTAAAAAAAGAATTATCCATTCAATTTTATTTATTCATTTGTTTGTTTATTTTGATTCGACCAGAAAGACACAGAGAGAGAAGGAAAGTGAGGAAGCAAGCCACCAGGTCCAGGACACAAACCATGGTCAGCCATGTGGGAGTGTCAAATGCCTTAGCCACCACACCACCTGCTGGTCCCCAAGATTTTAATTTTTCTGTGTAATATGTTTTAAAGGATGGAAACTAGGGACCAGCAGTGGCTACGTCACTGGACTCCCACGTAGTCGACTGTGGTTCGAGTCCTGGACCCAGCGGCTTAAACTCAGGTCCGGCGCGTGTGCGTGCGTGCCCAAGATCCGGAGAGGAGAATGGAGAAGGGATTGCGGCGTGGCCATCCCCCCTGGGGGTGATTTCTCGCTTTCTGTCTCTCTGTCTCTCTCTGTCTTTCTGGTAAGCACACGCGCCCTATAGCAAAATCCTCTCAAAAAAAAAAAGAAAAAAAAAAGAAAAGAAAAAGATAAAGGATGGAAACTGCTGGCTGTGAGCTCAGAAGAGACCCCGAGCTGAGTGACTCCACAAACCTGATAAATGTGATTATCCAAGGCCTCGCGGATCAGGTACAGAGTGAGAGAGAGAGAAAGTGAGGAAGCAAGCCCGCCAAGCCCGGAACCTGAACTGTGGCTGGCCATGTGGGAGTCCAGGGCCCTTAACCACTATGCCACCTGCTGGTCCCCAAAACTGTTTTTTTGAGAAAGATATTTTATTTACTATATGGCACAAGCACTTGCCAGAGAGATAGAGACAGACTCAGAGAAAGAAAGCAGGAGTCACATCCCGGGGGAGGGCCATGCCACAATCCCTCCTCCTCCATTCTCCCTTGCGGGTTTAATCACTCACACAAACACGCCTGACCTGAGTTTTAAGCTGCTGGATCGGGGACTTGAACTGCAGTCAACCACGTGGGAGTCTAGCACCTTAACCCCTACGCCACCTGCTGACCCTGACAAAACACTTTAACTACACGATTACAAGGATAAAATGGCCAATATGGCCACAGGACCCTTGAAGATGAGTTTGAGTCCGAGAATGCCAACACTGCCTCCCCCTGGAAGCACTCCAGATCTTCGCCCTTGGTGGTTGTTGAAACTCCCCAGCCGGCCTTCTTCCTAATCAACTGTTTCATTTTAATTAATGACTGTTAATTAGCCAGCGCCATTAGAACGTGACAGGTCATCTGTGCTTTGATGGGTAATTGGAAGGGCTTCCTACTTGGCGGGGACCTGGGTCTGAGCGTCCCATCCTTTCAGAAGCAGCAGAAGGGGACAATTTCCATACTGACGGGCTTCCAGAGGGTGGAAGCCTCTGCCCATCACCTGGGTACCACGGGGATCTCTGCTTCTCGCCCGCCAGCGTGGCCGCATTTCTCTGCGACACCGAATTATTTCCATAGCAAAGCGTCTGAGCTTAAGCAGCCTGCAGAGGGGCAGGCTGAATACTCATCCACACAGCACAACAAGTAGAACTCTTGGTCTCCACTGCCAGGCAACCAGGAGGCAGGGGTGAGACGGCTGTGGCTGTTCTCTCCTGACTGCGATGAGGGGAGAGGAGAAACAGAAGAGGGAGGGAGGGAGGAGGATTTGGGGAGAAAATGAAGGCAGAGTGGGAGGGAGGGTGGGGAAAGGAGTTACAAAAGCCAACGGGGTGGGAGGGGCGCTGGACTCCCACATGGCCAACCATGGTTCGAATCCTGGACCCGGCAGCTTGATTTCTCACTTTCTCTTCTGTGTCCCTCTCTGGTCAAATTAAAGAAAGAAAGTTAAATAGTTCTTTAAAAAAAAAAAAAAAAAAAAAGCAAACAGGAAGTGCTTGGCGGTGTGGCAGCCATGGTGGTCTGAGAGGCTGCCCCACATGGGCAGGCTCCCCGATGCACTGGGGATGTGCAGGCCGTGACCCTGGCTGGCTGACCATGGGGTGACCATGCCGATGAGGCCCCCTGGGTGTGCTGCCTCTCCCTCCCCATCTTTTTTGCTCATAAAATAAATGAGTCAAGGGGCCAGCAGATGGTGTGGTGGTTAAGGTGTTGGATGCCCACGTGGCTGACCGTGGTTCGAATCCCAGACCTGGAGGCTTGAAAATCACACCACATGCGTGCGTTCCCAAAATCCCGAGAGGAGAATGGAGGAGAAGGGAATGTGGCATGAACTCCCCACCCCACCAAGAAGTGATTGCTCAGTTTCTCTCTCTCTCTCTCTCTCTCTCTCTGGCAAGCATACATGTTCTATGGCAATAATAATAATAATAACATTAAAAAAATAAATGAGTCAATACATTAGGAAGAGGGGGAAAGGCCGGCTCCCTGTGTGGCCCTGTGTGTACACCTGCCTCCTAAGTGTAGGAATCTCTGCATTTTAAAACTCCTCCTGGGGCCGACAGGTGGCGTGGTGGCTAAGGCACTGGACTCCCACATGGCCAACCTCAGTTTGAATCCCACGTGCTGTCTCATGTTCCCTCTCTCTCCCTATCAGTCTCTCTCTCTTTTTCTCTGGTCAAATTAAAACATAATAATAAATAAATTAAATTATATGAATTATTTTTAAGAATAATTTATTTATTCATTCTTTTATTTTAATTTGATGAGAGAGAGAATAAGAGAAAGCAAGCCACCAGGTCTGGGACTTGAACCATGGAGGGACATGTAGGAGAGTCCAACACCTTAACCACTGTGCCACCTGCTGGTCCCAAATAAATAATTCTTTTTTGGGGGAGGGAGAGGTTTTGGCTATAGGGCACATGCACGCACCAGAAAGACAGAGAGAGAGAGACAGAAAGCAAGAAATCACCCCCCAGGGGGGAATGGGCACACCACAATCCCTTCTCCATTTTCCTCTTAGGATCTTGGGCACGCATGCACACGCGCCCTGTGTGAGTTTAAGCCACCGGGTCCAGGACTTAAACCATGGTCGATGACACGGGAGTCCAGCAACTTTCTACATGTGTGTGGAGCTTTGTCGCCTTGGTAGAATGTTATGTCTGTGAGGCTGGCTTTGGGGCTGCGGGAACGTCCCCTAAAACCGTCATACACACATACAGAGGTGCGTGTATACGTGAAAACACAAAAACAGGGAACAGCTGCCTATCCTGGAAGCAGTTTCCTCCAGGGGTGGGGACGAGGGCAGGGAAGCAGGGATAGCCGGTGATGTCACAGAGGTGGCTGGGATGGAAGGTTCTAGAAGGCTGAATGGGGTAGAAGACCCGTCGAGGTGGGAAAGTGTCTATTTTCTGCCTACCACCACCGCCACCATCCTGGCTGGGTCTAGAGGGTGACGACAGCTGGGAAGTGGCAGCACGTGCTCAGGTTCCAGGAAGGGCTCCCTGTTTATTCCTCGCGGGAGAAAACACCGGAGTGACCAGATGTCTCGGTCCCTGAAACTTCGCTGTGATGGCCAAAATTACATCCTGTAAAAAGTGGCAGATACCAACGGTATGGGGGACAGGCACTTTTTTTTTTAATTGATTGTTTCCCCACATTCTCTCTCTCTCTCTTTTTTTTTTTTTTTTTCAGAATTATTCTTTTTGGGGGCCAGCAGGTGGCATGGTGGTTGAAATGCTGGATTCCCACATGGCTGACCATGGTTTGAGTCCCAGACCTGGTGACTTGTTTTGTCACTCTCCCTCTCTCTCTCTCCGTCTCTCTCTGGTCAAAACTGAAGAATAACAATAATAAGTAAACAACTTTTAAAAAGAATTATTTTTATTTAATTTTATTTACTATTATTATTTTTTTTTAATTTGACCAGAGAGAGAAAAAGTAAGTCGCCAGGTCTGGGACTCAAACCGCAGTTGACCATTTGGGAATCCAGAGTCTTAACCACTATGCGACCTGCCAACCTCCCCACATTCTCTCTCTCTCTTTTTTTTGGAGAGGTTTTTGCTATAGAGCATGTGCGCTCACCAGAAAGACAGAGAGAGACACAGACAGAAAGCGAGAAATCACCCCCAGGGGGATGGCCACGCCGCAATCCCTTCTCCTCCATTCTCCTCTCGGGATCTTGGGCACGCACGCACACGTGCCCGGCATGAGTTTAAGCCACCGGATCTGGGACTCGAACCATGGTCGACTACATGGGAGTCCAGCGACATAGCCATTATGTCAACTGCTGGTCCCATCTCCCCACATTCTCTTAATATAAGATATTTTCAGCCTTTCTGATGGTATTTAACTTGATAGATAAAAATTCCATCATAAAAATGTTCTATTGTATTTCTCTTATGACTAAGATTGAACATGTTTCTGTTTTTAAAAGTTATTTTCAAATTCTGTCTTCAGAGAAGTATGTGTTCATGACCTTTGTACACTTTCCCACTGAGTTTTTCTCTTATTGATTCATCAGAGTTCTTTCCATACTGAGGAAATGAAGACTTTATCCATTAGATGTGTTCCCCATATCCGCCCCCCCACCCGGGTTTGTTGTTAATCTTTTAATCTTGTTTATAGTACCTTTGCCACATGAAAATTTTTAAATTTTTATGTACAAAAATTGACCTTCTATTTTCTTATGCCCTTTGCATTTTCTTGTTGTACTATCTTTTTTTGAAAGAAAATGATTTTGTTCAACTTTTAAAAATTATTATTAATTTGACCAGAGAAAGACACAGAGAGAGGAAAAGTAAAAAAGCAAAGGGTCCAGAATGCGAACCACCGCCGGCCACATGGGGGTCCAGCACCTTTCACCACCACGTTACCTGCCAGCCCCTTACACCATCTTTAAGACGAGCTGACTACTGCCAGTGGACGTGTGGTCCTATAAGAATTTCTCTCCCTTGGGAGACTTGGAAATGTTTTCTCACCCACAGGTTACATATAAACCTGACCCTTATAGTCTAACCATTTAAAAGACTCTTCTGGAAACTGGACTTTACAAATGCTCTACGATCTGGCATACCAACCACTCTCCCCTATTCCTATGCCCAAAACAGGCATGACTAATCAAGGCCAGGGCTCTAGGCAGACATAACCAGTGGATGGGAGTTGGCCTTGAACCAGCAGCCCCCTTTGCAAGTTTTTCTAAGTTCCCTGTTTTTGTTTTTTTGTTTGCCTTGCAGTACTGTGAAGAATGGTCTCTGGAGACCTGAAAAGCTGATAGTCTGATCACTCAACAAAAGAAGTCTGAGAACCCGGAAATAGACATGAATAATGTACAAGGTTTGGTGCGCTAGAAAGCGTGCGGGAGGGAGAGAGGCGCCCTGATTCTGAGGAGGCTCTTAGTACAGGAATCTAGACTAAGAGGAAAAGAACGCCAACATTGTTGGCCTGGTCCTCTGGCCGGGCCCAAGGGTGCCTGACCTCGTAGGGGACGATTACTGCTCCCCACAGGGTGTGGAGGTAGCACAGGCCAGACACGGAGAGTGTGGGGCTGAGCTCTTTCTAGGCATGTGACACTGGGCACATGTGACTAGTGGCTTGCTCTTTGCAAGACTCATCTGCGTGTCTGTAAGGCACCCATGAACCATCCATGTACAAGAGGACTTCATAAAGTTCGGGGTGGGGAGCCAGCCCATGGCCTAGCGGGTAAGGAGAGCGGCCCCCACTGAGCCGACCACGTGGTTCGAGTCCAGACTTGGCAGCTTGAAAAACACAGCAGGCACCCGAATCCAAAAAGGAAGGAGAGAAGGAGGACAGACTGTGACGCGACCAGGGCCCTGTCTCGCTCTTCGCTCTCTCCTCCCTCCCTCCCTCTCTCTCATCTCTGGTGGGCACACGCACCCTCAGCAAAAAAAAAAAAAAAAAAAAAAAAAACCAAGTCGGTGGGAGCGACAGCTCTGTAGCATGGTTTAAAAAGCCAGGTCTCACATGGCCGAGTGTGGTTGGAATCCCAGCCTGGGTGGTTTGAAAAACCCCTCGGTACATGCACGTTCATGCCCCGAACCCCTCTTTCCCCCAAGGGGACGGAGAAAAGGAGAAGGAACTGTGGCATTACCATGCCCCTTCAGGAGAGGGTGCCTCCTTTTCCTTCTGTCTCTCTGCTTTAGGGAGATTTTTGCTATAGAGCATGTGCACTCACCAGAGACACAGAGAGACAGAAAGTGAGAAGTCACCCCTGGAGGAGGGGTGGCCACACCGCAACTCAGTCCCCTCACTCTGAGTTTGATACTATTCACGGTTTAGGTATCCACTGGGGGCTGTTTGTTTGTTTGTTTGTTTGTTTTGAGAGGTTTTGCAATAGGGCACGTGTGCTCGCCAGAAAGACAGAGACAGAGAGACAGAAAGTGAGAAGTCACACCCCGGGGGGGATGGCCACACCGCAATGCTTTCTCCTCTTGGGATCTTGGGCACGCACGCACACGCACCTGGTGTGAGTTTAAGCCACTGGGTCCAGACTCGAACCACAGTTGCCTACATGGGAGTCCAGCGACATAGCCACTACGCTAGCTGCTGGTCCGTCCACTGGGCGCCTTGAAATGTACTCTCTGTAGAGAGCAGGGACTGTCGTGTAATCTGGTCATCCTGAATGCTCGCAAAGCTCCCTGATACAGTGTCGGGAGGGTAATGAAGTCAGTCAGTGAGAGCGAGAAGAAGCCTGGGCGGACCAGCATGCCCGCGGACGCTCACCCGGAGGAGGGGTGAGCTCGACACTTAGCACCTCAGGTCCAAGAGAGGAAGGTACTAAACCAGGAAAGCCGCGTGTCACCCACCCCTGGCCACTGTCCGCAGTGACTTCCACGCTGTGGACCAGCCATCCAGACGGAGAGGTGACCCTGAGGCAGTCCAAGCACGGACCCGGCCACGAGGCCCCGATGACCATCCACGAGTTCTTCCAGCAGTCGGTCGGCCGATTCGGGGCTCACCCGGCCCTGGCGTCCAAGGACAACAAGAACTGGGCGTTTCTGAATTTCAGCCAGTACTACCAGGCTTGCCGGAGGGCCGCGCGAGCCTTCGTCAAGGTAAACGGGCCGCCCGCCCCCTCTCGGTGCTGCCAGTCCCTTGGAATCCGTGGCACCGTCACACACGTGCCGTGCGAAATGCACAGGGCGCTGCGTCGGCCCGGAGCACAGTAGTGGAGGGGGCCAGAACCCCACGTACCGACCGAAGTTCAAGTCCCAGCCCTGGCGGCACCGGGCACCTCCCGATGGGATGCAGAAATGAAGGAGGGAGGATTGTGGCATGGCCATGCCCCTTGAGGGGTGCTTTCTCCCCGCCTCTCTCACTCTGTCTCTAGTGGGCACACATGCCGGCTGGCAAAAACAACAACAACAAAACACAAGGCACTGGAAGACACAAAGGTTAATTAGGAGGAAAACGATGTCCCCCTAACCCTGACCTTCAGATGCTCAGTTCCCCTTCACAGAGGCAGACGCCATTACCCGTTTTTTGAATTGTGCAATTCTCCCTTTTGGGGATAAATTGTGGTCGTCCATCACTTGATGATGATGATGGGATACATTTTTTTTTAGAGAAGTTTTTGCTATAGGGCACGTGCGCTCACCACAGAGACAAAGAGAGACAGAGAGACAGAAAGCGAGAATCACCCCCTGAGGGGACGGCCACGCCGCAATGCCTTCTCCTCCATCCTCCTCTCAGGATCTTGGGCACACACACACACGCGCCCGGCGTGAGTTTTAACTCGCTGGGTCCGGGACTCGAAACATGGTTGGCCATGTGGGAGTCCAGCGACATAGCCATTACACCATCTGCTGGTCCCAGGATACATTCTTATATAGAAATGAGCTGCTAGGGGATTTTGGCATCGTATGAACATCCCAGAGTACTTAAATAACCTACACAATTTAGGCTTCTAAACTCTTAGGCTGCTCCATTGTTGTATCGAAATGTCTTTATATGGCATGTGAATGTGTATTGTTTAACTTTATGTAGGCAAAGTTCTTTTAGTAGAGAGATTTTTTGCTGTAGGGCACATGTGCTTGCCAGAGAGATGGAGACAGAGAGACAGAAAGACTCTCGAGTGGGGACGGCCAAGCTGCAGTCCCTTCTCCTCCATTCTCCTCTCAAGTTTTTGGGTACAAACACATACACCGAGTGTGAGTTTCAAGTCACTGGGTCTGGGACTCGAACCACAGAATTACGTGGGAGTCCAGAGAAGTAACCATTACGCCATCTGCTGGTCCCATACATCAGCAAAGTTTTACACACATGGTAGCAGAGTATAGTCACAGTTCTGCATCTTGCTTTTCTCCCTTAACATAGTATCACTATGTATGTGTTAGTTAATGCTGCATAACAAATTACCCCAAAATATAGTGACTTAAAATAACACACATGTATTAACGCAGTTTCTGTGGGTCAGGAACCAGGAGTCGCTTACCTCGGTATTTCTGCCCAGGGTCTCTCATCACGTTACAGTCAAACTGTCAGCTGGGGTTGCCTCATCTGCAGGCTTGGGAGGGATGGGAGGGTCCACTCCAAGCTTCTTCAAAGGGCTGGCTGTGGGCAGGAGGCCTCAATCCTCTCTCCACGACTTTCTCCACACAATAGGGTGGCCAGTTTCTTTCAGAGTGAATGATCCAAAATAAAAAGTAAACAAGATGGGAGTCACAGTAGCTTTTATAACCTAATTTCAGAAATGACATACAACTGAGCTACCCCTGTAGCCTAGTGGTTAAAAGGGCTGGATCCCACGAGGCCAACCACAGTTTGAATCCTGGCCCCAGAGGTTTGATAAATGTGCCAGGCATATATATGTGTAGGCCTAAAATCGCAACAGGATTGAGAAATGGAGGAGAAGGGATTGGGCCAAGGTTGTACTGCATTTGGGTGCTTTCTTCTCCCGTTCTCTCTGTCTCTCTCCCTCTTTCTCTGGCAAGTGAATACCCCCTTTAGCAACTGAAAAAATAATATTTTTAAATGACATACTGGGGCCAGCAGGTGGCATGGGTGGTTAAAGTGCTGGATTCCCACATGGTTCAAGTCCCAGACCTGAGGCTTGCTTTCTCACTCCCCACCCTACCCACCCCCTCGTTTCTCTCTGGTGAGAAAATTTAGTAATAATGATAATTAATAATAAAAATTAAATAAGTAGTTCTTTTAAAGAATTCTTTTATTCAACTTTATTTCAATTTGACCAGAGGGGTAGGAAGAGAGAGAGAGAGAGAAAGAAAAAAAGCAAGCCACCAAGTCCAGGACGGACTCAAACTGTGGTTGACCCTAAAGGGAGTCTAGCGCCTTAACCACTGTGCTACCTGCTGGCACCTTGAGCCTATTTTAAATCATTCTGTCCTCCCAAATTGTATGTTGGTTGGTAAGTCTTGTATCATGGCAGTGAAGAACTTAATGCTTTTATTCTTAAGAGGATTTTTCCAAATATCTGTTAAATGACAGGATAAATGTTAAATAGGTAGTTTTTAGTATCATCAGCCAAGCCAACACTTGTATGTTATCTTTTATTTCCAAAAGTCAAAATGACACTAGGTTGCTCAGATGCCAGGTCAATTCTGCCTAAAGATTGGCAGGCAAGGAGTTTCCACTGCAGGGAAGGTTCAGCAAAGAAAGCAAGCTTCCTTCCTGCAGGAGGTAAAGCATTGATTAATACTGGCTACCTGGAGCACCATGTTGAGAAGGATTATGAAGTGGTATTTGAACTCAGCTTAAAACAGTGCTGCAATCGATTAATAGTGTCTGGTGTGGGCACAGAAAGGAAGAGTTGCAGCATACTTGCCATTCCCCTGCTACTTCATAGTTTCTGGTCTTGCTCCTTACAAGCCACCGAGTCCAGGACTTGAACTGTGGTCAGCCATGTGGGAGTCCAGTGCCCTTAAGCACCATGCCACCTGCCGGCCCCATAAATTAAATAAGTAATTCTTTTTTTTTTTTTAATGACATATCGTCACTTCTTCCTTATTCTATTGGTTACACAGACCAGCCCTGAAAAAAATGTGGGAAGGAAATTATGTAAGAACATAAATAACAGCAGGTAAGATTCATCAAGGGACATCTTGAGGGCTGGTTACCATGTCCAGATTCCTCATTAAAAAATTCATATCCTGTTCAATGACTGCGAATATGTATGTGACAGAGTTGACTTAACCAGACCCTACCAAAGGGCACTTAAATTGTTGCCATCATGGTAGTTATTTCTACCACGACTGGTGCCATATGGACTCTTACGAAGATGTTGTCTCTTTGACAAAGTCTGTTTACTGGAGCCAGCAGGTGGCGTGGTGGTTAAGGTGCTAGACACTCCCACATGGCTAACTACGGTTTGAGTCCCAGACCTGGTGACTTGCTGTCTCATCTTCCCTCTCTCTCTATCTCCCTCTGTCTGGTCAAATTTAAATAAATAAATGAATAAATAAAAATTTTAAAATGATCCTTAAAAAAAAAAAAGGCTGTTTACTTATATTCTTGTCAACACCATATTATTGAAAATTTTAGTCTCGGTCAATTTGATAGGCATGTTAGGATCCCAAGGATGCCCAGCCCTCCCTGCTGAATTAAGCCTGCCTCCTGGGTTTGGGCAGGACATTTGGTTATGAGACTTCTCTCCTGTGATGGCCTACGCAGAGGGAGTTTACAGGTGTATCACAGTCCCTTGGGGCATGGTGGTTAAGGCGCTGGACTCCCACATGTCTGAGCACAGTTCCAGTCCTGTACCTGGCGGCTTGCTTTCTCACGTTCCCTCTCTCTCTCTCTGGTAAAATTTTTAAAGATAATTTTTAAAAATAAGTAAATAATGCTTTTTTTTTCTTTTTTAAAAAGCAAAACAAAACAAAAAATATAGTCCCTAATCAGTTGCGTTTGAGTTAATTAAAAGAACAAAGGTTCAGGGTGGGCCTCGTATAATCGGGTGAAGTATTAAAAGAGAGATTCTCCCCCTGGCCTGCAGGAGAGGGCCATCTGGCAGCGGAGGGCAGAGAGCCTCCGAAAGTTGAAAGCAGTTCCCAGCTGACTGGTAGCAAGAAAATGGAGGCCTCATCCAACCACCAAGAAATTAATTCTGCGAACAACTTATGGGCGTGCATGAGGTTCCCAAGCTTCGGAGGAGACCATTCTCTTTACCAGCACCTGGACTGCAGCTTTGGGAGGTTCTGAATAGAGACCCTAGTCAAACCACTGCCAGGCTCTTGACTCAGGGAAACTGAGAGTGGACATGTGTGTGTTTTTAACTGCGTAAGTGTGTGGTACTGTAGCCATGCACATGTAATAGGGTAGCTATGTCCCGTTATAAAAGGGTATTTCCTGGTGGTTTTAATTTACAGGCAATCTGATTACATTGTTTAAAGAATTATTTTATTTAACCATTTATTTATTTCAATTTCACCAGAGAGGGACAGAGACAGAGAGAGAGCAAGCGAGAAAGAGTGAGAAAGCAACCCACCAGGTCCGTGACCAGAACCGTGGTCGGCCGTGTGGGAGTCCAACGCCTTACCCACCACGCCACCTGCTGGCCCCGCTGCATTTTTACTTAGACTGAGTTCCTCTCTTCCCTCCTCTGTAACCCACCCCCAGCCTTAGCCAGCCAGGATCAAGGCAGGTGTGCACACACCTGGCACAGACAGGGAGACCCTGAGATGCAAAGTCAATATGGCTCCAGCGTGGTAGAATACCGCGGTACTGCCGTACCACCACAGGAGGCCCGCCGAGGGGCTGCTCTTCAGTCCTCCTGTACACATCCTTGTGATCGGGTCACGACAGAGATGAAAACGTTTCTGCGTCTATATTTGGCTTATCGGTTTGTTTTTCTTCCTCAGCTGGGCTTGCAACGTTTCCACGGAGTGGGCATACTGGGATTTAACTCTGCCGAGTGGCATATTGCAGCTATTGCCAGCATCCTCGCAGGGTAAGGCCACTGCGTGGTTTGCTGTGAGTGTCCATGGGCCGCTACTCTGGACTTGGCGGCCGAGGGCTGGTTGGGACTGATGTGTGAATAGGAAGTGTGGATGGAGCTCCAGGTTAGCAAGACAAACAAACACACCCTCCTGGCCACGGTTCAAAGTCACGACACCCGCTGGACCTGAGGTCTTAGATTGCTTTTTCCTTCCATCGCAGAATTTGTATTTTATGATAGGCAGCACATGCAAGCGCTCTGTAAAGGGGAAGCTAGAGAACCCTCCCCATGGTCTCGTCACACTGTGATACCTTCTTCCCAGCCCTCTAGCTCTTCAGGTTCTTGGGTACCTGCACACGCCCTTGGCGTATTTCCAAGCCAACCCAGGGATCCAGATCTGCACTGGGCCATGTGGCTTCAAGCACCAGTTGAACACAATTTTTTCAGGCACATTGAGACCTTCAGATAACATCTAGAGATTTTTGACTTTGTGCTAGGCATTGTGCTCAGAGTGTGCGATCCCGATGAACCTCGTAACAACCACGTGAAGTGAGTCCTATCATCTCCTTACAGATGAGGAAACACAGGTTCACACAGCCAGTGCGTAGCCCCCGAACCCAGGCTCTAAAAAGAAAACCCAGGAATGAGAGCGCGCCTCTGCTCATAGCTACAAGGAAGTAAGAGGCTACCTCGTCCTGACTTTGTGCTGCTGATGGCGAGGGCTGTGTTCTGTTTGCCTTTGGGGCCTGGTTTAGCAGTTATCCAGTAACATGGAAAAGAATGGTAACTGCCCAGTCTAGATGTGGGTGGGATTTTTGTATCCTAAGAGTTTTGAAGTCAAGTCAAAGTCCATGTGAAGTCACCACACGTGCTATTTAAGCCTGCAAATGACCCCCAAAAGGAAACCAGCCATCATCTTTGCTTCCACCGGGGCTTCCCCCCATTTGGCACTATTGCTGTCTGAGCCTGGACCATTGTCTGTGGTGGGGGTGGGGGTGCGGGTGGGGGTCACCCAGAGCCCTGTTGAGCAGCATCCCCGGTGACATTGCTAAGCGTCCCCTGGGGGCAGATTTGCTCCCAATTGATCTCCCCTGAGTTAAGGGATTCTAAGAACCCCAGGAGATTTTGCGTTCCATACAGGTGTGCAGGGATGACTGCATTTATTTATACGCTGTGTGTTTATATCTGTGCTTAAAATGAAAACCAGCGATTATAATAGATTAATAAAAAACAGTGACTATACTAGATTGGTCATTACTGCCAATCTTCTGCCCATAGTATTTTCATCGACGGCTCACACCAGCTGCATGCTGCAGCAGGAATTATTATTATCCCTGCTATGCTAATGTGGGGCCGGGGAAGGTTAACAGGATTCCCCGAAGTCACAGAGCGAGTGAGTGAAGAGTCTACGGCCTGAACCTGGATTTATCCAGCTCAAGATAATGACGATGACACTAATCAAAGCAATAGGCATGAGAGATGGAGCGAGATGACCAGAAAGGAATAGTAACATTGATATGTCAACTATCAAAGCCAAGGACACTGAGCCAGCCCCAGGGCCCAGTGGTTAAGGGCACTGAATCCCACGTGATCAGCCACATGATTCAAATCCTGGTCCTGATGGCTTGAAAAACATGCCAGGCACATGTGCCAACATCCCAATAGAATGGAGAAATGGAGGGTTGTGGCATGGCCTCACTCCATTGGAAGGTACTTTCTCGCTCTCTCTCTCTCTCTCATATGCACCCTCCAGTAATCAAAAAGGAAAAAAAAAAAAAGTACACTCCAAAGTGTTATTTTCTATTTTCCAACCTAAAAAAGAGAATTATTTATTTAATCTCATTTGTTGTTGTTATTTTAATTTGATCAGAGAGAGAAATAAAAAGAAAGAAAGCAAGCCTCCAGGTCCAGGACTCAAACCACAGTGGGAATCCAGTGCCTTAACCACCATGCCACCTGCCAACCCCTACTTTCCAACATTTTTATGAGCATATATATTTACATTTAATTTTTGAGAGAGAGATTTTTGCTATAGAAGACAGAGAGAGACAGAGAGACAGAAGGTGAGAAATCACTTCCCAGTCATGGCACAATCTCTCCTCCTCCATTTCTCTTTTCAGGATTTTGGGCATGCAAGCACACACACCCGTGAGTTTTAAGCCACCGGGTCAGGGACACAAACCATGGTCACCTACATGGGAGTCCAGCGATGTAACCATACGCCATCTGCTGGTCCCAAAAGAAATCATCTTTTAAAAAATATATCTCGTCTGATGCTTACTTGCAATATAACCTCCATCAAGCTGACTTGCCCTGGCCTCCGTTTTCCTCCTCTGTACAATGGGTTGCTGTTAAGTGTCCCACGACAGGTTGTCATAATGACATTCACAGGAGCTGTCATTCCCATGATTACCGTCTTTGTTTCTGTTCACCATTGTTAAGTCGGGGAGGAAGAGAAGCTAGCGCCAAGCCTGCCAACTCCGAATGTGCCTGCTAACCTTTTCTCTCCCCGGGCCTTCTGGACCAGTCTCACCTTAAGGTGTGTATGAACACACGTGCCAACGTATTTTCTTTTCCTAGGGGGCTTTGTGTTGGTATTTATGCCACCAACTCGGCCGAGGCTTGTCAATATGTCATCAACCATGCCAAGGTGAACATTTTGCTGGTTGAAAATGACCAACAGTTACGGAAAATCCTTTCGGTAAAGCCCTCCCCAGCACTGCCTGCCAAAGTCACCAAGAGGGACCTCAGGGCTCTGGCTGGTGGCCTTCTGCCCCCAGATAGGAAGATGCTGATGATAAGGAGGGGTGGTGGGTTGGTCCCACGCATGGGCTCATTAAGAGTCCGCCTTACCAGGACCAGCAGATGGCGTGGAGGTTAAGGCACTGGGTCCCGCGTGGCCACCTGGGCAGTTCGAGTCCCACAGTTTGAGTCCTGGACCCAGTAGCTTGAGAATCATTCCGGGCGTGTGTGTGTGTGTGTGTGTGTGTATTCCCAAAATCCCAAGAGGAGAACGGGGAGGGAGAAGGGGCTGCTGTGGAGCCGTCCCTCCGAGGGCTGCTTCCTCACCTTCCCTCTCTCTTCCTCTCTGTCTTGTTCTGGTGAGCACATGTGCCCTAGCAAAAACTCGAAAAAGAAAAAGAGAGTTCCCCTTAAGCACATTAGTATACCTGGTGAAGTGCTTCTAGGGGGAGCAGAATGGAGTAGGGAGTTTAATTTCCAATTCATATTAACTTGTTTTGTAGTTTGGTTTTTTTTTGAGAGGTTTTTTCACTATAGGGCGCGTGCGCTCGCCAGACAGAGAGAGACAGAGAGACAGAAAGCGAGAAATCACCCCCCAGGGGGGATGGCCACGCCATA